TGATAAAGTTTGATTATTAGAGATTATATAACAGTTGTGACATTTCTTTCGGAACAACCCTCGTATTTCCTTTTAACCATTAATAGCGCGACAGAGATACATCATATGTCAGAGTAGTGTTTTGTCGAAAAGTGAGGACGTCATCGGAAGTTGGAGCCAGGAGAGATGTTATAGAGATCAGTAATATGCTGGAGAATCAAACGAGAACTTGTGATAACATCAAAGCAAAGTGGGAGTCGCTGAGAAGTATTTAGATGGAATAGACTCGTTCTTGATTATACACTAAATGTCACCGATTTTGAAGCAATAAACAATGAAGACATGAACACAATGAATGGACAATATCTTTCTCGCAGTGAATCAAATCCTTGCTCCTCGACTCTAGAGCAGACTCTAAAACCACTGCGGCACGCGGGCGACCCAAAATGTACCTAGTAAAGTAATGATGACGTTTTAAGTGTCCCCTTACAAAAATATTCTGTAAATAACTCTAGTTTACCACCGTATTTATAGTATCAAAGTTTTTACTGTAGTAATTCAAAGGTTTCACTAACGTGAATCAAAGTATTTTAGCTGTGGATTTCAGATTATTATATTTTATGTTCTATAATCCAACCTTGCATATTTTGTATATAAAATGAACATATTCACGTGAATATTAACACTGTCATTACAGATTTTGGGCCATTGTTATTGAGTTTAAGAGAGTTTATTTCATAGTAAATCAAAGCATCAAAGTATTTACTTTAGTTAACTATAGTAAATTTTTGTAATGGCCTTTCAAAGCTCGTTAACATTCCCTTAGGACCTGGAGGCTCATTTTTTACCCCACTGTCATTTCAAAATGCTCACGTAAAATATTAAAATGTTCAAATGACCAATTGTGTTTCTAAAAGCATGAGAGTTGTCATTTGCCTCAATAAAAGTAAATGTTTCCACAATTTTGAATCGAATCTCAGAAAAACGCGAGCTTTTTATACATCTCATGAAACTATCAGACGAAAATTGTTCATTTTTTTGAAATATTGTTGGGAAATATTTTTTTTTCTTCCTTATTTTGACTAAATATTATGAGGTTGTTAAATCATATGCAAATAGAAACATCACTCACATGCACAATAATTCATTGATATAATATCATAAACAAATCTATGACGTTACATGCATTTTCCGTTGCATATTGTTAAAAGTGGCGACGTCATTCGTAATTCTGTGGATAATGACTTCTTTTCATACTAAAAAAGAAACGTGTTAAAACAATAGAATGACAACAATACTAGTTGTCTCAAGATTCAAGGATGACTAGACTAGTTATCCGAAGGCAGAGGTACTTGGGATTTCAGCAAACATGTCCCAACTTTGCGGTTTTCATTAAGAAGTTATGAAGTATTTATGAAGGGAAATTTTACAAAACTGAAAAGAATATTACCACACAATTTCATCAATATAAAAGTTTAAATAAAACTGGATCATTTATTCTTAAGAAAGGAATTTTTAAATATGGACCTTGGAGAAAGTTCTCATTTTAGCGTCATGTTATTATGTGTTTCAAATGGATGTTGGATTTTTAATCGCAGTAAAAGTTTGTTTCTTAAGTCCCATATTGCTCACAATTGGACACCATTAGAAAAATCAGTTTCCTAGAAATATGCTTCTTATCTGGGCTTCTTTCTAAAAATCTTATTTCCTAGAATAGGAATTTCCATTTGCATAGTACCGAGTTTAACAAAATTAATACGGAGATCTGTTTTATCATCCATTAAAAAAAAAAAAAAAAACAACTAACTACCTGAATTTTGATGATGTAATTAAAACTTGAAATAAACAATCATGACATTTTAGTAAATTGTGTTTATATCATAATATATATTGAGAGAAAACAAACTATAGAATACAATTGGTTTTTTTTTTGTAAAAATTTTGTAACTCTGGAAAATTATAAACATCCAAAGTTGGGACATGTTTGTTGAAACACTCTGTACTTTATAGACCACCCAAAACAAACAAACAAACAAATTGAAAAGTCAGTAGCTTGCCATACATGACAAATTGAAAAGTCAGTAGCTAGCCGTACAACGTGATCTCCATTTAGCTACTCGAATTCATGATTGAGATGGGAAGTTGTCTATTAAAGAATTAATTTCGCGAACTTTCGCTGCCTATAGTATATGCAAGCTTAGGATGGATAAATTGCTTATTAAATAAAAATTAAACGAGGTGACGATTTTCTGCGTCAAATGACTCTTTAGGACTCAAAAGAAAAGAAGCACAATTCCTTACGTTTTTTTTTTTTTTTTTAATTTTTTTTCATTTTACAAATTTACAAACGCCACAAATTACGTTTGAGCTACTATGTATGATTCGTTTAACTATGAGGTGCATGCTATTTATAGACATATTTAGTTGAAATGTCTATGTATAATTAAAAAAACGTTGATAATGATGCATGCCAGTTCTTAACTGTAAAAAAATATTAGTAAAACAAAAACATATTGAGAATAGTTCGCGTTTTCCGGAACACCCTCGTAATTATGTATGTTTTAAATATGAGACCAATTAAAGTCCTCCTGTTCGAGAAATATAAACTTTGGGCTCATGGATTTAACACTTTTTGTGTAAAGTTGAATACTCCTTTGATTCCAACAAATAATATGCCTGTGTGATATCCATAAAAATGAGAGGGTTTTTCAAACGTGTACTCATTCTCAATATATGCCAAACACACCCCACCTTCAGAACGAGTGAGTCATGTGATGTACTTGTTTTGTAACTTTTATAATGGTGGATTTATACGGTCTCATCCGAAGTACCGGACTCCACGTCCCACATTGGGATTCGAACCTGCGACGTAAGGATATTGAAAAAAAAATTAATAGAAATTTTAGATTAAAAATATTTACTACAGGAATTCATCGACTTTGGAAAACTAAAAAAAAAAAAAAAAAAAAAAAAAAAAAAAAAAAAAATAGAAATAAATATTTTTGAAACTACATGTAAATCAGATTTAATAGGTATTTTAGATTACAAATAATTATTAATGTAATTCTCCGACTTAGAATTTTTTTTTTATCATTTTGATACATAAAGATATAATTTATGATCGAATGCGGCATGTTCTATCACATGATATAAGTTGGCTGTGAGTTTTGATTCAATTGAATTTTATGATATGCAGCATGGGGGTAAAATATTTTTAAATGTGGCTCAAAAAATTATTGAAAACTTATATCCATCTTTCCATTGATGAATTTCAAAAACAAAAACCAGCCTTTTTTTTTTTTTTTAAATTCATCCATCTGCAGAAATTAAAATAATAATAAGTATCAGGGATAAAAAGTAACCCCGACAATCATGTCGTGTATATTTGCCGACTAAATATTTATGTAAGTGTTGGGAGTTATTAATTTTTTTTTTTTGTACAAATACACATTTTTGATGTATTGATATAAAAATATCATGACCACAATAAACAGTTAACGGGGCCTAACATCAGAGGAAAAAAATCTTTAAGCATTTATCATTAAAAGTTACGCTATTTTAAAAGAATACAATACTGTACGACTTATTATATTGCTTATTTACTACCGATAATTAGTTCGTTCAATAATGTACCTGTAAATCGCGCTTTGTTTTTTTCTTCTTACTCCAGTTAAAAGAACAAACAGGCAAATCAAGCTTTACATTATTTTTTTGGTAAAAGATAAATCAAAATAATACCATAGTAGTTTACGATTGGACATACTGTACATATACATTTATGCTGCTCTTTATTATTATTATTATTATTATTATTTTTCAATTAAGAAGATCAATAATTTTGATGTTGATCTGGATTTAAACAAAAATGTAAATTAGAATTATAAAAATAAAACAATTGAATGAAAGCACGTACATATGTTTAAGCTTGTACAGTATCTTGAGATAATGAAATGCTATAATTTGTCAAAAACATTTTTTTCCCTTTTTTTCTAGTAACAGTTGTGATAAGCATTATTTTCTTTTTCTTTTATACATAAAAGAACGTTTTGTCTGATAATTTTACGCAATGTAAATTAATGGACTTTAAAAAAAAAAAAGAAAATAAATGTGTAAATATAACATGCTACCTGGATACTTAAAATATAAACAATTGTTTTTAAAAATCATTTTAATATTAATTTCACACTGTACATTAACACGCTTTGCTTGTAGAATGTTTTATTTACATTGAATGATAAACTGGCATGCTGATCAGTCGACGCGCTGATTGGTTAACACGTCTTATCGCTAATCATGTTTGACAGCTCTGTCACGCAACACCGAACGGGCGTTCGCTTTCTGGGTTCGCTACTGAAATAGGGATTCGCTTTCGGCGTTCGCTCTGGGTTCACTGCGGGTTCGCTCGGGGTGCGCTCCGGGTTCGCTCGGGGTCAGCTAGAGCGAATCCCAAGCGAACCCGAAGCGAACCCTGGGTGCGCTTTGGGTTCGCTTTCTGTTAGGTTGTGTCTGGTCGGTACTGTATCTTTCCTGGTATCATAAAATTCCTAAAATCTCTTTTCGCTTAAAGTAAGTTAAGGACAAATTGCTAACTTGCGTCTTGCTAAAAATTCCCATTTAAGTAAAGTGTAAATCACACAGACTTGTCACGTAGTCATATTTGATGAATTGCGCTAGCCTACGTGCAAGTCTGTGTGATGTACACACCAAGAACTCACACTAAACTTAAAAACGTTTCTTATATTTACATTTTACATGTTTAAAAGCGCCAAAATATACTCAATTTTTGAAATACTGGTTGCCCTATATCTATATATTTTTATTAACGTCTCTTCAGACTCACTGTGATGTCACTCTTCGTGCATACTAGTATTTATACGCGTGAGTATACATGAAAATGGAACTCAAATCAATTCCATAGTTGGCTATTTGGAAAAACACAATAAATGTAAATATTATACTATAACAGATCATTTATTTAAGTAACATACATATTCCAAATTTCTCTTTAATCATAATATAGTATGGTGGACATGGAGAATATATCAGCGGTTGTGTTCCGTAGAATGTGTCATGAAGTGGGAACATCACTGGAAGTTCTAGCCAAAAGAGATGTTTTGGATCTCAAAATTAAACTCGCAAATCAAACAAGATCAAATCATGACAACGATTTCATGACAAGTGGAAGTAGAAGAGAAGGTTTAAGACTGGAGGAATCAGATGTAGACGTTATGTGCTGGCCAGACAATTACCGTGTAATCTCGGAAGTTCATCAGTCTCAGCGTTACATTCACAGGAAAAAACTGATTCTCTGTGACGGTTCCGAAAGTCCGCCAGGATTCACCTTATTATATATGCTTTCACCCCCAATATTATGTAGTGAGATCAAGGAAGCTTTTGTTAGAATGAATAACAGAGATTACATTTCTAGTTCTAAACACAAAGCGATCATGTGTTCTGCAGAATCACAAATATCCACTCTCCATGGACCTTGTGTGAGTAGATTTCATGGAATACTAGGATATGATTTTGCTCACTGTTTTGCATCTGATATTTGGCCACCATCTGCCTCCTCATGGATAGACAGAAGTCACTCATGGCCCCAGTACCATATAGTTGATGATATAGTAAGAAGTGGATGCCACTTTGTAGCAATTGGACATAAAGTAGGAAGACATGAACATAACGAATGGAGAATTTCTTTCTCTTTGGCAGAACAAAAACTTGTGTATGCAATGAACCACTGCCAGTTCTTAACATACGGTTTGCTTAAGTTGTTTTTAAATAGAATAATTAACAATGGATTAGGTGATGATGAAAAATTACTGTGTTCCTATCACATGAAGACGGCGGTTTTCTGGGTCATTCAACAAAATATGATACCTCAATGGTCTCCACATACTCTCCTCTACAGTTCCTGGGTCTGTTTTAAACTCGTCCTCAAATGGGTGTATGAAGGGGACTGTCCTAACTTTTTTATTCCGAGTAACAACATGTTTCTGAGTAATATATATGGTGAAGCCCAAAATGTTTTATTTTTAAGACTGTATGAACTGTATAAGACAGGTATAAGATCCATGCTAGACACTCTCTCCATTATGTCATGTAATGAATGCATAGCTTTCCTTCGTGATCCTAGTTTTTCCTGCTGTGCAGATGAAAATATCCAGTTTTCTGAAGCTGATTTTGATGTCATGTTATTTAGAGAAATAGAAAGCAATGAATCTCTGCCCGTATTAAACGTACAAGGATTCATAAAGTATCTGCAAAACAATATATTAGAACGGGCGATTGATACACCCCTGACAAAGTATCAAGTCAGTGTACTACAGACATTTACAAACTCTGTCCTCCAGAATCTAGCTTTTGTATTACATATGAATACTTATACACAAGGAAACAAACTTAAATACAGAGCTGACAAAAAGTCCTGTCACATTCTGAAATTAGCAGCCAAGTTTGGTTGTATTTCAGATATGCTGTACATAGCCATGTATTATTACAAGACATTAAGATACAAGGAAACATTATTTATTATAGAGGTGATAAAGGTCAAACTAGCACAGCCATACGTGATGCACAATTATAATGTCGATGAGGAGATGTATGCGGAGGCTTTGGCGGGTCAGTCCTGGTCTACAAAGATGAGACAAGCTGTAGCATGGGATCTAAAACTTAAGAATGAAATTATATACATCACTGAATTGATACCAGAACAACAGTCCAGTCAACAGAATAATGTGCCTTATTTATATGTTCCACCCTTCGTTATGTTATACATGCTAGAAGTTTTCTGCTGCCAACATGTAAACACAATCAGAGCACAAGCAGCTTTAGATGATTTGCGGACCCTGATTCACTATGATCATGGACACTTTATACCTATAATTGCCAAAAACTTAGCATGGCAAATTTTGGGGATTTGTCAACAGATGACAGGAAACTTCCAGGATGCTCTATACTCATACCAACAATCCCTCAGAGAATATCAACTCCACAGTATACAAACTGCTACAGAAATGAGAATACAAGGAATCCATTTACAAAATCAATATCCTCGTTGAATAATACAAGACATTTGAAGAAGAAATTCGCTTGATAGATTTTTTAATCAATGTTTTTTTCTTCTTATTTTGCATTGAAGAAGAAATAAACTTGATATAGTTTATCATCAATGTATTTTAATGACATACCTTTTGCTTTAAAGTAAACCTACATATTTATCATTGTATACAGTTATATAATGTGGTTTTGCTGCAATTACACAGCATAGGCATATGCATATGTCTACTGAATGAAATACTTTAAAAAAATTATGATTGCTTCATTTAATATATATATACTTTTCGGTAAAGTGTCTAGAAATTTCCAAGTATAGGGTTTAATTTCCTCCATGTTAATAGCGATTCTCTGTAACCACTTAAACTTTTTTGCCACGCATGGTCACCGATTTTGATGAAACTTTGCCCATTATTACAACTTGACACCAGATACATATTTCAAATAAAATTTCGTTGCTATGTGTCTTGGTTGCCATGGTAACAGCCAGAAAAGTTGGAAAAATTGAGATTTTCAGCTACTTTGAATCTTTATTAAGCCTTAATAAAGACTAAGAAAAACAAACAAACCATTCTCACAAAAACCCGACACCTTGTTGCCACTTATGCTCTAAAAAACTATTTAGAATTTATCTCTAAGTAAGTGGTAACCATGGGTACATTTGGAATACATTTTAGATCTGAATTCTGAGCCCAAGGGACATTACATAAAAATCTCCGTTGATGGCTAGCGGCTTTTTATTATTATGCAAAATAATTCCAATCAGAAAAGGTTTTCAAGACTTAATTTTTTTTTCAGTATATGACCAATCCATCCCCATCCTTAGGCAGGAATTTTCTAAGTTGTTTACGCTCAATGCCTCATGATCACCTACTCACTGACCCTTTTGGACATGAATCATTGAACCATTTGTATGAGATTAGTAGGTTTAGTACAGCGCTAAGTGCTTATTCCAATCAAGCAAATATTTTTCTTGCAAGTTGTCTATAAGGAAACATTTTCAAATAAGTATTATTTTGATAAATGACCGAATGAGAATAACCCTTGTCCTAAACATTCAACCCAGGTTCAAGACACTACACGTTTTTCCGGAAAAATATTGAATACTTATTTGCTTCATGCAAACAATTTGCCTGCTTGATTCCTTGAGAATCCATCCTATTGCCGAAATTTGGCCATTTCTGACAGATGGACTGTTCTTGTTATAAAAAATAATTTGCTTGTTAAGAAATATAAGACTCGGAAAAATCTTTTAGCATCTGTAAATAGACCACTACGGAACATGTCACGTGACCGCCTTCATCACGTGACGCATGGGCAGAACATTGACAGATGTGCATTAAAATTGGAGAGGACTACTTTAAAAAAATAATGAGCACTAAATCCTCATTTTATTTCTTTTAAGGAAGTAATTCAATTAGTTCGCAAACTTTTTGATCACCCCTCGTAAGTGCAAATTTTCCAGCTCTTTTCTAATGATATTAACTTTATTAACTTCCGTGAAACGGTTAATATTTTATCAAACAGTTCTCAGAACTTTTCAAATGCCCCTCGTAAGTGACCTGACTTACGTGATTTTGTTTCGCATTGTGTGTTCATACAAATTCTTTTAAAAGTAAGTTTAAGGGTCACCTAAATCATCATATTTTTTTTTTTATCTTAAAATGATGTGGTATTCTTTTAACAATATGAAATTTCTTAAATGTTTTGGATAAAGATAACCGTTAAGCAAGTAATAGTTCTACACTAGTCCTTTTTGTTTTCAAATTTTAAAAATCAACTTTGTAACAACGTGCTGAATTTTTAATTAAATCAAACACAGATGGTTGTGGACCAGAAAAAAAATAACATATCAAATTTTTGTTTATTGAGGAAGAATTTCTAATAACATTTGATAATTAATTTTAATTGACACTAGAAGTTTGTATATAAAAAAATGTCATTGGAAATATTGGCCACATCTAATATCTAAATACACTGTATGGATTCAATTTGACCTTCAGAATATAAGTTGTTATGCTAGTAATAATTATATTAATTAAAAATGACTATTAAAACATCTGTTTCAATCTAATTGAAAGTTTATAAACAGATGGCAAAAAAAGTACTTTTTAAGTGTCTTCCTTGTCATTCTTTGAAATATGAATGGCATGTTGACAACAAATGTTGAATAAATTTACACGGAAAAGTTTCGAATAAAATACAAATAATCTCATAGATAATATGACAATTATTGATTTACTTAATGCATACCTAGAAAATATACTAGAGTTTATCCTAAAGTAATGTCACAACTACTTTGAAATCTTTCGTAATCGAGATCAGTGATATGCTGGAGAATCAAACGAGAACTTGTGATAACATCAAAGGAAAGTGGAAGTCGCTGAGAAGGATTTAGATGGAAGGGATCAGAAGTAGACATTATGATATTGCCCAAAAAATAACATATTTGATCTGAGAATTACCCCAGTCCATCTCCCTCTCTTACGACATACACAGGAAAAAAAAAAAACGATGATTTTCCGTGACTCTTCTGATAGTCCACCAGGATACACTTCGTTATATTTACTGTCACCAAGTTTAAACTCTGGAATCAAGAGAGCTTGTGTTAGGCTCTAAATACAGAGATCACGTATTATCCATTTTTATCAAACTCCAAGTCACGCATGCATGGACCCTGTGTCAGTAAAACTCATGTAAAACTAGAGTCGTATTACGCCCACTGTTTTGCATCTGAGTTTTGGTCTCCATCTGCTCCTCCTGGATAGGCAGGTGTCACTCATGCTGTTTGCATTACAGAGGTCCATGAGAAATTAAAAAAAAATTAAAAAGTTGGTTATTCTTTAGACATGAAAAAAAAAAAAAAAATCAGTTTATCCGGTTGCCTAAATCCATGGGCCATTAACATACATGTATCAATCTATTTGAGATGTGATTATAAGTGCTAATTGTAATCATGCATACATGTACAGTTTGTCTCCTAGATGTCCATATTCAAAGATGTATTTTCACTATATATTCAATTTACATGTAGTCCCACTAGTACAATTTCGTTTAATGTTTTAGCAATCACTGTGATCAGGGAGTAAATTCGTATTTAAAAAGGATAAAATAAATTTTCTATACATGACCAACCCTTATCTTTATCCCTGAAACTAAGGAACATGAATATTACAGTACTGATCAAAAATCCACCACTTATTGTAGCCATGCCAACAGATACACTGCCTGATCATTGATGTTAAGAAGTAAAGAAGAATCTATGCTCTTTTAAGAATTCATTTCCTTATGATGGTTTTAGCCACACCTATGAAGATAATGGAAGCAGATACCATGAAATGTATTTTCTCCCTTCTTTTAAATATTGGTTGAAAGTAGTTCGCTGAAGAAGCTGAGTATGTTCAATAATTAAGAACAAAGGACATCAGACGACGCAACGGATAGAAAAATATCACCTAAATGAGTCAGCTGATCCAAAATCCAAAACATTGTGGCATTTTGAATGTACATACAAGTTCCTTGAAGGTATGTCATTCAGTTTTTGAAAAAAAAAAATGGTCAGAACCTCTTTTTTCAAAATTAATTATTAAAAATCAGCTTTTATAACATACTTGAATTAAACAATGTTAATTATACATATTTCAATTTAAAAACTGCTCACAAATTGTACGCGGGTATGTTATGGAAGCATTCAAATCATTTCTAAGGAAATTGAGACTTATCAAAAGAAATTATATTTTGAAAATTTATCAAAGCCGCCGATAAAACGTAAACTATTTTTATCTATTACATAAATACAACAGAGTGTCTGAGACCAAGAAGTGCCACACCACGACGTCATCACGTGACTGCTATCAATAAAAAAATATTCCTTGATTAAAAAAAAACGTTAACAGAACAACACTACCTCGGGGTTTAAAAATGTTTTTGAGTAAATAATAAAGTTGAAAGACATCTCTTATGCCTAGAAAGTGCTGCTAGAATCCCACTGTGCGGTTGGCAAAATAATTATTCCACACTTTCCCACGAAACCTTACCTGATGTTTTGTATTCTATACATTTAACCCGAGATATTTCTTCAAACGATGTTTACCTCACGATTCTAGCAGCACTTTCCAAGTATTATAGAACGCAAGCTTTCGATCTGTATATATAAATCTTATGTTTTGAAGTATCCAGCTTAGTGCCGTTCTACTGCATTATTGTTGTCACGAATACAGAAGAAAGGCCGACCGGGATACGTAAGTAGCTGATTGTGTACTATAGAGGATATAATCGATGAAATAAATCAGCATACCTGATTTAAAAACTTTTAATCCATTTGAATCACACACAATATTCACAGAAAATGCTTCTAAACCCCCTTTTACGTATCTTTTTACATGCCGTCTTCGCTTAATTCTCGTTACACAAAATTATCAATTCTCAAATTACTTGTTGAACAGATATGACGCCATCGGTCGGAGATTTTAATCTAAGTGAAAGATGCAGCAAAACAAATATTTGCTGTAAATTTGCTGTTAATATTTGCATGTTTCTATTCATTTTCAGAAGTTTAATTACATCTCTAAATACCAATATCAAGAAAACTTGTTCAAAAAATCACGTCACCTCGCCTACTATGACGTCATATTGTATCAATGATTTAGTCAAGTCAGAATATCTGGGTGCTTCCTTAACACACCTGCGTAGAGAAACAAGATTTATTGGGGACTCTTATGGTCCAAGATTTATGGGGGACTCTTATGGTGCAAGGATAGAAGAAAATTCTTTAAATTTAAACATTTGTTTTATTTAATATTTTAGAACTTTAGCCCTACATATTTTTACTTAGAGAATGTTTTCGTCATCAAATGCTAGGAATATTGATTATAGGTTTCAATTAATATTTTTAAACAAATTTTACATATACACTCAACAAACTTTGCCATAAAAAAGAATATGAATTGAAGAAGTCAAGATAAAATTTACATTGTTTATGCCTGAAAATCGCATATTTCGATCAATATCTAAAAGTGTACATCACTGACCAAAACATGTTCTTTCTTTTTTTTAAAATTACCCGATACTCTCAACTGATAAGCACGTTAGTCATAAAAAGCTTGATACAAGAAAATGCTTTACTGGCAGTCTAACACCCAAAATATACATTTTAGTGCAAAAAAGTAATTAAAAAATTTAAAAAGCATTACTTTACAGGATTATTTTCAATAATAAATATCAAACTATTTTTAATGAAATGAGATATTACTAGCGATTCTCTGTAACCACTTAAACTTCTTTGCAACGCATGGTCACCGATTTTGATGAAAATTTGCCCATCAAATAAAATTTCGTTGCTAAGTGTCTTGGTTGCCATGTTAACAGCCAGAAAATTTGAGGAAATTGAGATTTTCAGCTACTTTGAATCTTTATTGAGCCTTATGGAGGGATTCTTGTCTGGTTTCTGGTAGACGAAATATTCCAAGTATATTTGCTTGTATGTCTTATATACTTAACTGTAATGTATTAAAAGGATAATATTTTTCTTTACTCATCATAAATGTACAATTTTAAATAGAAATGATAAACTGAGTTTGACATCCAGTAGGGACTATATTTTTGGTGGGACTGTGGAGTATGAAAATATCTCCTTTCCTGCTTCTCAAATTCACTTAGAGAACAATACATTTAGCTAAGTTTTTTAAACAATCAGAGACTTAAAGAAATTTTGAAATGTAACTAAAATTAAAAATAATGCCCTAAAGTTTTAAAATATAGCAAATAATAATGATTATCTAAACAAACTTCAATCCTGTTAGCTTTTGAAAGCTTAAAACCTAAGAACAGATCTAAGCAAAAAATCAGTAAAAAGTGTTTTTTCTCTCTTACTAAACGGTCAAAGCTTTTTTTTTTGTATCATTTTGTATATTTATATGACTACTTTGCCATATGTAAAAATAAGAAATATTTAAATTATGATTGCCATGGTACCACAACATTCCAGTTGTTTAAAGTGATATTTCTTTGCTGCCTTAGGAACGCCGCTATGTTGATGTTGTCCGAAGGCTTAATATGCATTAAAATATACCTTTTATTTTGAGCTAGATTTTAATGTTAATTTGTAATCTATGTATGAATTTGCAGTCAATTTGTGATGAGAGTGTAATCAGGTATTATAATAATGCATTTTTGTGATGTCACATGACTTTGATGATCACGTGATTGACACTTATAAATTCATAAATGTTGCACAAAAATCGCATCGGCACAAGTGCAAAAGAACATTATTGAGAAAAAATTGTCAAATAGGTAAACTCATCATGATCTTTGGTACATATAAAGTGCTGGGGGCAAGTCTGAATTTTATTTCTTTGGAAAATATTCAACGATAAATTCAAATTATACATGTACATATACAAAGGGACATTTTCCACTCTTTATCGCATTTTCTACAAAATAGGATAAATTACATACAATCCCCCAGCAAATTTAAGTTATAGGACATACTTCTCTACTAGATTCACACAGAATATCTTCAATTCATCCTTATTAATCACTTGTGCCAGACAAATATGTATACGATTTATAAATTCTAACTCTGTCCTCGGACGTGTAAGGAGAGCGTTTCAGAGTCATTTTTTTGTTATTGTTTGAATTTATGTATATCGGACACGTTAAAGGAATTACGATATCTAATTGCAAATGTTCAACATCTTAATAGTACACTTAAGCTTAAAGAACAATCCAGACGCTTGAATCAAACAACAACGCTAAAAAATCTTTACATGTCATGTGAAAAGAATGCAAAAGTTATGACACTTTCGCCGTCATGTCAGCTCAAGTATGCAGTGACTTGACGGTCATATGCTATTATGACGTCATATCTTTCTTAGTTCAGAGAAGTAACTACAGTAGGAACAGTTTGATATTTTACGGACAACCTTATCCTAGCTGCGAATTTACTTACGTTTTAATCAGGAAACATATTTATTGACTCACCTTGAATAGTACTTATCTGGTGGAACTAAAGTTGAATATCATATATTGATAAAATTGTTGAAAAGTACAACACTAGTACTGTTGCTATGGTTACCAAGAAGGGAAAATATTTGATTTTGTTAATTTTATATCAATAATAAACCCTATGTGCCATCTTTTTGCATCCAGTTAGAGATTGGGTGGAAGTCAAAATTGAAAGTCAGGTCAGTTGTTCATAAATATCAATCATTAAAATTTTGGGAATCTACATACAAGGGAACTTATCCAAGGAAACAGAATATTTTTTCAGATTTTTATGCATATTTTTTCGGCTTATTTCTACAGCAACGCTCTATTTAAAGAATTGAATTTGAATTTTTTGAAATGTGAAAATTAGGATCACACCAACGCCTTTAAAAGTTGATCATCAGTTATATAGAAATATGCTTTTAAAAAAGATAGGATAAGATTAAAACACTGAGAGAGTAAATTTAAAATGCTTTCGTGGTATTAAAACCATGGCAGCCATTGCCAACCGATAAGAAATATCATATCTTTTGTCTATAATTTGCTTGCATTTCAACCTATAACTATTTTTAATCTTAATTGTATGACTTTATATAATTAAATGAACAAAATTATTACTTTTGAATACGTTGTTTCCATTGTAAGGTATGTAATAGTTGATTTACCAAACGTGTTTATCATGCATTTCAGACATCAGGCCTTCAACTTTCAGAAACAGTCATTGCCACTTGTTTGCTTTGCTTCAAACGTTAACTGTGGGACTCTGAACATATTGAAAAATGCCATTTTTCAAACTTTAGGACATGTTCCTATGGTAACCATGACACATAGAAACCAGTTTTTGCCTGATTTGAGTTTAAAGTATCAAAGACTTTTATCATAGAGATTTGGAGAAATTCTGAGATTATTCGTGCCACTGCTCCTATATGAAAGTTCAAGTCATTACAGAGAATGGCTCTTATTTATTCCAATGATTGCAACTAGTAAAATATTACAAAAAAGTGATGAATCTCAAATTTAAAATTTAAGTGCAAAAAGGTCAAGTCCATTGTACCGTTGCTCAGAAGAATGCACACTGACCCCCGATTTTGTTTGTGATTTTGAGTCGTGCTGTATAAATAATTACCTAAAATATCCCTCATGACAAATCCTTAACATTTCTTATGTGAGGAGTGACATACCTTTAAATAAATCTAAGAGTAATCTCATTCCGGATTTTTTTTTTAAAGCTGATATCATCTTTTAACAACACGTAATTGCCTATATTAAGGTGTTACAAAACAGATAACCCAATATTTTTCCCCAAATCCAAATTGTTTGAAACTTTGACATTTTGTTCTAGGATATGAAATCTCTCTTTATGTGTAGTTTGAAAGAAATTGAGCAATGTATGTTTTGTCCACATAGATTGAAATACATCCTATCAGTCCCCTGTATGAAGAGGGTGTTTTAACAGTCTAATTTGCATTGTTTAAAAATTACTATTTGATATATTACAAATATGTGTGATGCTGCTTATAGACGTGACCTTTTGTTTCTTTAAATTAGTAAAATATATTGAAACTAATATAGCCGAGTGCACTGTAATGTAAAAATAGAGCATACACAGTTTGAGAATTGCAAATTCACATGTAAATATGCTACACTTTCAGATCTGTTGAAAGAAAATTATTTATTCAAACTTTATAAAAATATCAAGAGAATGATTGAAATTGAAATAAATTAAAATGTGTCAAAATGAAGAAACTTGAACCATTGGTTTTAGATATTTTGGAGATTCAAAAAATTTAAATAAAAAAAAATTAAAATGTGTCAAAATGAGGAAAATTGAATCATTGGTTTTAGATAATTTGGAGATTCAAAAAAGTTCAATGCAAAAAAAAAAAAAAAAAAAAAAAAAAAAAACCTTTAAAATAATCATATGACGTCATGATGTTCGACCTTGGACCTCTAAATATGACATTGATCTTTACTGTACATAAAGCATACATATGCTCAAATATCAGGTCTTCTAATACAAAGCAATCAAAAGTTACACTTCATTTGATAACAGACGGTTAAGTCACATGTAAATGACAGAAACACTTTCTAAATGTAGGCTTGAGGATGTCCAATATGTATGATGTCTCAATTTTATTTTTTTTTTTCAGAATAGGGTTAATACATGTCATAGTTTATATTTTTCCTTTCAAAGAAAATTGATTATTGATATTAGAGTGATTTTATTCTTTTATCTAGCGTGTTTTAGAAGAAATGAGTTAAATTTTACAGGTGTTTTGTACTACCTTTAATGTTTCACATGAAGCAAACATCATCGATGTACATGTACAACCATAACCATGTTTAGCTCTAAACTTCCTCTCCTTCCAATTTACTTCTATATTATTAATTTTGTCAAAACATGTTAAATTCTGAATGTATTAGTGACAACTGTTGTTGATTAGGAAGAAAATACTTAAATAATACTTTTTTGCTAATTAAGGAAGGATTTCTATCATCATTTGATAAGAAGAAGAGCTTTGTATAAAATGAAATGTAATAGCCAAATGTTCAAATATGTTCTGTAAAAATGGACTTCATAAGACCTTCTCAAACGTAAGTTTTAATCATAAATATACATTAATCTGAAGATGCCTTTAATATTTCAGTCAATATATTTTATTAGAAAATTATAAATTTATATAACCGTGGCACAAAACAGTCTATATTTCATGTCATATTTTTAAATAAAAAAGAGGGAAAGAGAAAAAAAAATAAAAAACTGTTGATAATTACAGTTGATCTGCATAGGTTAGTGACGAATCTAAAAGATAACGATCTTTCTTTTAATCCTTTATAGTGGGATAGACATACATCATATATCCGAGTATGTGTTCGTAAAGCTGTGTCAAGAAGTGGGGACGTCACAGGAAGTGGGTGCCAGGAGAGATATAATGGATATCAAAGATGTGCTGAAGAATAAAATAAGGACATGTCATGACACCGTTGAGATGAGAAGTGGAAGCCACAAAGAAGGATTCAGACTGGAAGGATCAGATATAGACGTTATGAAGTGGCCAACAAATGAGACTGTGATCTGGGATTTATCTCAGTCTTTCTATTACAACAGATACAGAAAAACACTGATTCTCTGTGACTGTTCTGATAGTCCACCAGGTTACACCTTGTTATATATACTATCAGGAAGCCTGAATGGGATTATCGTTAGAGATTGTGTAGGAAGGAACATATCGAGTTCTGAATACAGACAGAGTTTTTATTATGCATCATTCCTTGTCCACTCCAATCCACTTATGCATATGCATGGACCCTGTGTCACTAAAACTCACGGAAAACTAGAATTTGATTATGCCTACTGTTTGGCCTCTGACTTTTGGCCTCCATCTGCCTCCTCCTGGATAGACAGAAGTCACTCATGGCCTCCTTCTCATATTGTTGATGACATAGTGAAAAGTGGATGTCATTTTGTAGCAGTTGGACATAAACTAGGAAGACATGAACATAATGAATGGAGAATATCTTTTTCCCTGGCGGAACAAAAACTTGTATATGTAATGAACCACTGTCAATTCTTAACTTACGGCTTACTTAAATTGTTTTTAAGAAGAATAATTAACAATGGATCAGGTGATGAAGATAAATTATTGTGTTCCTACCACATAAAGACTTCTGTTTTCTGGGCGATTCAACAAAATATAATACCCCACTGGTGTCCACAGAATCTCCTGAAGTGTTCTTGGGTCTGTTTTAAACTCATCCTCAAATGGGTGTATGAGGGGGTGTGTCCGAACTTTTTCATTCCAAGCAACAACATGTTTATTGGTAATATTTATGGTGAAGCTCAGAATGTTTTATTTATTAAACTGTATGAGCTTTATACTAAAGGTATCAAATCGCTGCTCGACACGCTCTTCATTATGTCATGTAATGCATGTATAGATATTCTTCGTAATCCCAGGTTGTCCATCTGTACAGATGAAAATACCCTGATTTCTGAGATTGATTTTGATGTCAATCTATTTGGTGAAATAAGCGGCAATGAGTCACTTACTGTCATAGATTTACAAAGCTGCATGTTGTATTTACTTGCAATAGAAGAGATGATAAATTCACCCCTGACACAGTATCAAGTCATTGTTCTACAGAAAGTTACAGGCTCTATCCTGCAGAAACTTGCTTTTATATTACATATGGATACTTGTACACAAGGTAATAAATTTATATACAGAGCTGACAAAATTTCCTGTCACATCCTGAAATTTGCAGCGAAGTTTGGTTGTATTTCTGACTTGTTGTACATAGCCATGTATTATTACAAGACATTTAGATACATGAAAGCATTGGCTATTATAGAGGTAATAAAGGTCAAGCTATCGCAGCCATACGTGATGCACAATTTTAAGGTCAATTCAAAAATGTATATCAAGTCTCTAAAAGGACAGTCCTGGTCTACAAAGATGAGACAAGCCGTTGCATGGAATATCAGTCTTAGCAATGAAATGCAATATATCAGTGAATTGATACCAGAACAAATATCTAGTGTACAACACGGTTCGGCTTTTTTATTTCTTCCACCCTCAGTGCTGTTATACATGCTAGAAATCTTCTGCTGCAGATGCGTAGACACAAGGAGAGCACAAACAGCTCTTTATGAATTACAGACCTTAGTTCATTATGATCAGAGGCAGTTTATACCTTTTGGTGTCATTAACATATCATGGCATATTTTGGGGATTTGTCAACAGGTAACAGGGAACTTCCAGGATGCTTTGTACTCATATCAACAATCTCTCAGAGAAGATCAACTCCACAGTATACAGTCTGCTACAGAAATGAGAATGCAGGCAATTTGGCAATGGAATAATTAAATTAGACACTTGTGAAAGAATTTCATTTTGAAGAGTTTATGCACTATGTTGTTCCTATTCTGTAATTTCTGACTGCTTAAAAACATACAGTTTTATATAAATATTGCATATAGTTGAGTGTAACATTGAAAATTTTCACCCCAAGAAAACCATTGTCTACCGAGGCGCAGCCGAGGTTTACACTGGTTTTCGAGGGGTGAAAATTTTCAATGTTACACTCAACTACATGCAATATTTATTATATTATACTGAATGTTTTATACAAATAGGACTCCAAAGTCCGATGGTGACGCCAAACCCCGATGGTCTGCGCCAAACCCCGATGGTTTGACGTCGGTAAGGACGCCAAAGTCCGATGGCCACGCAAAAGTCCGATGGCTCGTTTCCTATGATACACGTGCGCTAAAGTGCGATTGTCTGACACGCCAAAGTCCGATGGTGCCGAGAAACAATTAACGTTTATGACGTCACAATATTCCGACGTCAATCCTCGACGCCATAGTCCGTAATTCAAAACCAATAATTTAGGATGAGTCATCGAATACAATTTGACTGATTTTACTTTATGTTTGAACTCACCTGAGTTATTAGGATTAGTCCTTGCACACCACTTGGCGGATAAGGTTTAGAGAGGGGTTGCACCCACCCAAGACATTAAGGGTTAATCCTTGTACACTATTCAATTGAATAGTTTTAGTCTCGCACCCCAAAAGAGGTTTGACTGATTAGGGCTAGTTTCTCTCCCATCCAGGATATGTTAAAGACTTTTTGACCGATAAGGGTTAGCCTCGCACACATCCAAGAGATTAGGGTCAGCCTCGCACCCATCCGAAAGATTAGGGTTAGCCTCGCACCCATCAGGGAGTTAGGGTTAGCCTCGCATCCATCAGAGAGATTAGGGTTAGTCTCGCACCCATCCGAGAAATAAGGGTTAGCCTCGCAACCACTTAAGAAATTATAGCCAGTGATACAATATATTCTTTGCGTTTTTTAGTGAATCATATTACTTTGGCGTTTAAATACTTAAAATTTATTTATTTTAAACCGTTTTACCTTGGCGTGGCGCGGCATCGCAATTTGGAGCAGAGGTACTATGACGTCATAAACAATACTATTTTTTTCTGCGCCATCGGACTTTGGCGTGTGAACCATCGGGGTTTGGCGCAGACCATCGGACTTTGGCGTGACCATCGGGCTTTGGAGTCCCATCGCTCTTTGGAGTCCTACACATTTAACAGTAAACCTTGCGCACATAAATTTTGCGCAGTCACTATTTTTTGGAATATCACCCGTCGTCAAGCAATGTTGACTGTTGCTACGCTGGAGGGCATGGCTTCATCATTCAGCGAGTAATAGTTTTTTTTTAACAAACGTTTCTCGACGAATCAGATTCAACTAATTTACATGAAAGTATAATATCTCCATTTATATCTTAGAATGGTGTAATACACTATGATATTGCTGATGTTAGACGGATGACCTATGAATGAATTTCTTACAATATCAACTTTTTGAAAATAAAATGAATAAGTTGTTTTGCTTATTTTGTGATTTTCTTTGTAATTTTTATTGCTTTGAAAATGAAGTAACATACCAAACTGATTGTAATATTTTTTGTTTACACTATGTTAGTCTTCAAGATGAAGCACCAAATGATATTACATGATATTTTTTGCCAAATTTTATTGAAATTAAACTACAAAAAATGGAGGAGTGGCGTATCGAACGAATTACATTTTTAGTATCGATGAGAATACCGTTAGTAGAAATCAAGAATCCATAAAGAAATTTATGTACCATACTGTATTCTAGGAACATACAAAGTTTAAAGTAACTCTTGAATGGGAAGCTTTAAGCAAGAGACCCGTGGTAGAGCGTATGCTCTAGAGTCGCGGAGTAAGGAGTTGATCCTTACGTCACAGGTTCGAATCCCACTGTGAGACGTGGAGACAGGTCCTTCGGATGAGACCGTATAAACCAAGGTCCAGGGTCGCAGTAGGTGCTGGCACAGAATAGATCCCTCACTGCTCAATGGCCCTGAGTTCCGAGCATAGGTCCAAATTTGCAGCTCTCCACCTGCAAGTGGTGTCGTCTCCATATGAGGGAAAAATTCTCGTGAGGGATGTTAAATATCAAACAAACAAACAAACAAAAAACTTGAAATAAACAAATACAAAGCGATCTTTCCAAAGTTGCAAAGTTTCAAAGTTGCGGAAATTTATGAACTCTTTCTCAAAGAACACACTCAGTTAGGTTTAAATGATGTTCTGTGTTTTAAGGAATATAAAATTTCAAAAAATATTTATTTTCTGCCAAACATATAAACCATTGTTGGTTGTTGATTAAAATACAACATTTGTTCGTAGTTACTTCAACGCTTGTCTTGGAATAAAATAAAATTTTGGTAGCGGAAATCAATATTTACGATACTAGCGGATGTGTAACGTTTATTTTGAATTGATTGATTGATTGATTGTATATTGTTTTACGTCCCATTTGAGAATTTTTCACTCATATAGAGACGTCACCATATACCGGTGAAGGGCTTCAAATTTTGACCTTTACTCGGCACTCAGGGCCATTGAGCAGTGAGGGATCTTTACCGTGCCAACGCCTGCCGTGACACGGGGCCTCGGGTTTTAAGGTCTCATCCGAAGGACCCGCAACTTTCACTTCAAAGTGCCGAGCGCATGGCGAAGGAACGGTTGCTACCTATTTTTTATCGACTTAGGTCTGTCGCGGCCGAGATTCGAACTCATGACCTCCCGATCACGGAGCGAGCGCTCTACCGACTGAGCTACCGTGAACGGTATTTTGAATTGAGAAAAGCTTGAAATCATTTACATATCTACTTCTTAACTAAATTGTACATTGTCCATCATTTCACCTATATTGTTCAAATATTATTTCATTCAAAGATATGCATGTCACACATTTAAAACATTTTAATAGAACTATTAAAGTTTGATGTCGCCGCAAAATAAACATTTACTCATCTGTACATTGAAGTGAACTTGAAGCTTTGCTGAAATGATGCAAAATGGTTCAGTTATAAGTTTTGAACAACTAAGAAAAAATATATTTTATTGAATGGTTCAAAAGACACTTTTTGTCAATGTTTATCAAATATTGCCCCCTTGTATCATGATTCTAGTGGTTATAGATTTCATTGATATTTACGTGTTACTAAACAACACTGTTTCTTAATAGTCAAATTGACCTACAATCATTAACAGCAACATTAAAAGATAATTTGCTTTATTCCAATGGACGTCATCCAAAGAAAACACGAAGTATCCAATTGAAACTGATTTTTAAAAATTTATACACATTAATTATTCAAATGAAAAATCTAAACGTTAGTTTTAATTCACGTTATTATTTGTCTTCTCCACAGGACGATGCGGCCGTATAAACTGAGAATACGAGTTTAATGTGGGATGATTGAGTCGTTACTTTCAAGCGCGCAAGAGATTATCTGAGTGTCATATATAAATTGTTCTCGAACATGTACTGCATCATCATGTGGATGACAGAAAGCAGTTAAAACTAACGAATGATAAGGGATCCCTTTTGGCGGTGATTTTGCAATGTTAAATTGTCGTAGACTTTGAACATGCAGCAGTGTCAATACGCAAGTTGAACGACAGGGTTCAAATCAGGGGAAAATGATCTGTTGATGTAACCCAATTTGAAAGCCCAGGTAAGTATATATATATATATATATATATATATATATATATATATATATATATATATATATATATATATATATATATATATATATATATATATATATATATATATATATATATATATACATATATATATATATATTTCATCTACTGATTACTAACTCCTTTATTTCTTATGAAAACCACGGTCGCTTTTATATCTCATATGTCGTATTTCTGCCAAAGTTTTATATCCCCAACTTATTTACACCTTAGAGCTGAATAATGGAGAGAGGGGGATTTTACAATCTTGGAAGCGAGCAGAGAACTCATTTTTTTCATGCAATTTTTTTTCCTGCAAGATATCCATGATCATGAGAAAAGAAGACTTCAGGGATCTTATGTAGTTTTAATTTATGACTAACTAAGCATCATCTTGGGTCATTATTGAAGAGGGCTTATTAATTAAAATCATTATAATTATTGATATATTTTACCTCCCTGACGTCCAGGGGTAAAAATAAGATATAATGCATTTTTAAAACCCCGCTTTGGAGGAGAAGGGGGCAAACTGTTTGACCCTTTTGTGTCTGTCTGTCTGTCTATGTGTGTGTGAGTCTGTCCGTAATAATTTTTCACCGTTTTCTCAACAATAACACTTCGCAGATGTTTGAAATTTTATCACACTTTTTTGTCATGCCAAATGGCGGGATCCAATTTTGTACGAATCCGATGTCAACTTCCTGATAATCCTTGCGTCTGTCCGTAACAATATTTTTTCTCTGCAACTACTCATGGCAGATGCTTGAAATTTTAACACACTCTTTGCTTAGGCATGTCATATGGTTGGATTCATTATTATACGAATCCTATGTCAACCTCCTGTTTATCCGTGCGTTTGTCAGTACCAAACTCACATCATAGCGGGGGTATTACTAGTGATCATTGGTTTACATACTTCCTGTCAATAAACAACCAACCTTTGACCCTAATCCTGAACAATGAAAATAGGGCCCACGAATGTCAAAGTTTTGACCAAGGACTCGGGCATATTATATCCACGTCAACAGCTATGCTGTTTCACGTCCAGAGGTGAAGAGGAAGATTTTAAAAGACTATATTAGTTATAATGGCTTAAGCTTTGGCAAAACCTCAGAGACCATGAAATTCACCAAATGTTCTTCTCTAATAGATGATATAAACCAAAGTTAGTTACAAGTCCTTCGATCGTTATGGAAAATGAACTGGCTGTTTTTTTTTTTTTTAAATTTACGACCAGAGCACTAAGTAGATCTGATGTGCTCGAGAACGGTCGAAGCAAAGACA